ACGACCTATAATTTTATTTTATTATTATTATATTACATTATCATTTTAATATTAAAATCATATTGTATCAATATTACAATATTGTCTATTTTGTATAATTCTTTATTAACATTATAGAAAAATATTACATTATTATCTAATTTTTATGATAATGATATTTTTGTATAATAATAATAATAATATTTATGTGTAATTGTATTCTTATTATTATTTAAAATATTTATTATTAAAATAGCAATATTTATTGTTTATTTAAATACATATTTATTATTAAAATAATTCTATGAGTAGAATATATTTTGTTGGACATATATTACTCATAATTTAGTAATTTTAATTAATAATTACATATTTAATAAAAAGGGTGTAGTTTGTATGAACGTAAGGCTCTAAACAATCAAAATCAGGTGCACCTTTAAATAGTATAAAAAAGATGATGTTTCAGAATTGAAAATCTAATGGCCTGAAAATTTATTTTCTACTCTAATTATTAAATTCGAAGTTTCAAAAATAGAGTAGATCAAGTAGATCTTTGAATATTTGAAAATTTTGAAAGGTAACAGTCTAAAAAATGCATTAGAAGATGCATTATTTTGAATACTTCAAATTCATTTTTTCTCATGTCCATACATCTTGAGGTTGAGATGATCTATATTAGAATTTTTGGGCATCAAAACAACCTCTTCTAGTGAATTTTTTAGGAGCGCCTTTATTTAATTATTTAGGGCCTCACCCTTATATAAACTCTTTCCTTAATGAAAAAGCCTAATATACATCAAGGCATATTTATTTTTACTTTCATATTTTTTCAATAATATGTATTCCATATACAATGTACATCTTTTCCTTAAATCTCTCAAAGTATATAGATTTTATCGGTCATCCTATCCTAAAATAGCTCTTTATCCAAAAACAAAAAAACGATTTCCTATTTTTGAAAAATAGAAAGATACCGTACCTGTCCTAAACTTCTCTACTTGAAGGTCACATACCCTACATCCTCCTAGAGATAGGGTCCCCTTTATTTGAAAAATGTCCTACCCTTAGCTGTGGCTTAATATTGTACTCTCTAGAGATAGGGTCCCTAGCTGTGGCTTAATAATGAAGTATATGTGTGTATATATAAAATGGGGGCTGGGGAGAGTATCTCCTTTTTCCTAAAGTTGAGCATGCCAACCTGAACCATATGATCCTTGATCGGATTGGTAAGAGCGCATCAACTCTTTGAATTTTAATTTTATTTTTACAAATCTAACCAAGTTGAAATTTTGGGAGTCTACACAGTCCAACAAGGGCTCACATGTTAAAATATGTAGTAAGTAACACCCTAATAAAATAAAAGATCTAAAATATCTAATCTCATATTACTTTGGTTGTTTTAATTTATTAAAATATTTTAAAAAATGTCATAACATTTTTCCTGCAGTAGTGTGCTCACTCACACACTCTCAAGATCGGGCTGTTGAGGATATGTAGTAAATAAAATTATAATTAACTAAAATGTTTAAAATACCTAATCTCATATTCCTTTGGTTGTTTTAATTTATTAAAATATTTTAAAAAATGGTATAGCAATTTTCCTGCAGTAGCTTGCTCACACTCACTCAAGATCAGGTTGTTGAGAGTTTGTATCTCTATCAATCGGATTTGATTGAATTCTTGAGCATTCACACTTCTAATTATGGTTCAATTTTTAGATGTTTTATTTTTAATAAAACAAATAACCAAAATGCTTTTGAATTTTTAGAGGTATTTTTTGTTATTTATTTTATATAAAATTTTGATTTATATTTTAAAAAGTGCGCCCTTGTTGGAAGTGACCCTCAAAGTTTCAAAACCCAGAATATCTCGGTTTTATGAGCATGTTTGAGTATTCAATTATATTTGTTGGGTTGAGCTAAAATTTTGGTTATTAGTACTTCTAACCCACATGCATTGGTGAAAAAATAAATTAAAAGAAGTAAATAACCAAAATCTCTTGAAATATCATGGGCATTTTGGTTATTTTATTTTTTATGTATATTATTTTATATTTTTATAGATGCACACCAATGAGGCCAACTCACCCTCAACTTTTAAGGGTGAGCTTCCTATGAGAAGTGCGAGAAACTCACACTCCCAAGGGAGTGCATGGAGGTGCATTGCACACTTCCAAGTGCCGTACAATTCTTAGTTGTCAAACTAGGAAATGCTATAGCACCTTCACAGTTTTGGCTAGAAGACTTTGGAACTTCCAGTTGTCAAATACACCTTAAATATCGATATGTGGAAAAGCATCGACACGTGTCAACATACGATACAATAATAAATAAAAAAAATTGCATACCGGCAAAATAATAGAAGAGACTGATACAGAAAAAGCTATCAGTGGTTTCTTCCATACATGTGAAAAAGAAAATAGGAAGAAGAAAAAAGAAGAAGCAAGAATCACAAAAAGAGATGTATTTTGCGCCGCCCAAAACCCTTCAAAATGCACCGATAAGCTCCATAAGACCTTGGAAAACTAGATAGAGAATTTGATTGACCGAATAAAAGCAAGTTCCAAATGTGACTCATATTTTCTTTCACATATATTTCTAAAAATATCACATATAACATATAATTAATTGATTGAGAATACCATTCTTATTATAGGTAGGGACTCTTTCCCTACTGAACTACCCAAAAAAATAAAACTAACCTTTTGGACAGACCGTGCTAAGAGCGTGGCCCATATTGCTTCCCCTGATAGGGAGAACAAACTTCAAGGATTCAAACACTTGATCGCCAAAATTAATTTTGGAGACCAAAGCCCAATGAGAAGAGCTTCACATCCTATTGAATTCTTCTTCTCCAGAGAAATTTGAAGGAGGTTGCTTCATTTTATTCCTCATGAACATGACAAAATCATTGGTAATTGCCATCAAGGAAACATTTTGGCATCTAATGAACAATGCTTGTTGTCTGTGAAGGGTATCAACGATGAGTTATAGGAGAAGAAAGACACGTACAGCCGTGCGAGTGCCCTTGTCATTATCTATAAACCAACTCCAATTTGGGTAAGGTATTTAATTGTTGCAAGAGAGAGGAAACACATTGAACCCAAAAGGGAAGGGTCGTGTTTATGAATATTCCTTAAAGATGAGGGCAGTAAGATAATTTCCCTGTTTTCACCATGGATAACTTTTTGTAAATATACAAAAAGCATTTGTGCTTAATGTACAGCCATTGACATTTCCTATTGTTTTTATAGTGAACAGATTTTATTATCCCACGAGAGTATTTTTCCTTGTTGGATGTATGGGTATACTCAAAATCACCCCACGAAAAACCCGTATTATATGGGACTGATGTTGATGAATTTACTAAAGGGAATAGAAATTCAAAAAAAATAAAGAATCTTGGATATATCACTTAGTTTATATATATATATATATATATATATATATATATAACAT